ATTTACCTTCAACTATGTGGAGCAAGAGCCTACCTAACTGGATACAATTGAAAGTGTTCTTAGGTTTGACCTCCTATTATATGGTTTTTGGTAAATCTAAACCAAAATTCTCAAGAAAAAATTGTATAATGTATGGCCAGCCTTAGTGTCACTGGGGATGTCAGCGACAGTTAGGCTGGCCATACATTATACAATTATCTGGAGATTTTTGGTTTAGATTTACCAAAAACCATATAATAGGAGGACAAACCTAATCAACACTTTCAGTTGTATCCAATTAGGCAGGCCCTTGCACTACACAGTTGAAGGTAAATCTAAAGGAAATTGGGCAGAAAATTGGAAGATAATTGTATAATGTATGGCCAGCCTTAGTCAGTTCCCATCCAGTGTTAGAATGCCCACCGCAGTCCCCCTATAAATCGCTGATTGCTGCCATTACTAGTATTAAAAAAAAATCCAGTATACAGTATATACCGCCATTTGTAGACAAAATTACTTTTTTTTTTTTATTTTTCTATTGGCTATGTTGTGTAGCAAAAAGCAAAAAATATTATTTTTTTTTCTAATTGTCGGGTTTTTTTTGTTTATACCGCAAAAAATAAAAATCGCAGAGGTGATCAAAAACCACCGAAAGAAATCTCTATTTGTGGGGAAAAAAGGACATAAATGTATGTACAGCGTTGTATGACCACGTAATTGTCAGTTAAACTAACGCAACGCCGTATCACAAAAAATAGCCTGGTCAGGAAGGGGGGTAAATCTTCTGGAGGGCAAGTGGTTAAAAGGGTCATGTGATCTATTCATAATAGCCACTTTTGGGGGTATAAGGTCTGCTATCACTACAAACAAATCCTCAATAATGCCCAGGAATTTTAGGACAAGGAGAGTTATTTTCATCCAACTTGGCAGCATAAAAGTGATCCAACAACACTGTATTAGTGACAATTAGAGATGAGCGAATTATTCAAAAATTCGATTCGGCCGATTCGCCGAATTTGCGGGAGAAATTCGATTCGATGTGAATTTATTCGCCGCGAATTAAACTTATTTAAAGGGTTTCTAGGCTTCAGAGAGCCTTTATATTAGTGCAGAACACTGTACCTTTAATTTAAATGCCCTTGGAGTCTGCTGGGGAAGAGAAATAATACTGACAGTCAGTATGACATGCAGATGAGTGCCGTCGATCTTAGAATCACCGCACACTTCACTCATTTGGGCAGTCATGGGGCACGACGAAGAAGAAGAATGAAAAAAGAAAAGAAGAATGAAAAGAAGAATGAGAAGAAGAAGAAGAAGAATTAAAAGAAGAATGAGAAGAATGAAAAGAAGAAGAAGAAGAATGAAAAGAAGAAGAATGAAAAGAAGAAGAAGAATGAAAAGAAGAAGAAGAATGAAAAGAAGAAGAAGAAGAATGAAAAGAAGAAGAAGAATGAAAGAAGAAGAAGAAGAATGAAAAGAAGAATGAAAAGAAGAAGAAGAAGAATGAAAAGAAGAAGAAGAATGAAAAGAAATGAAAAGAAGAAAAGAAGAAGAATGAAAAGAAGAAGAAGAAGAATGAAAAGAAGAAGAAGAAGAATGAAAAGAAGAATGAAAAGAAGAAGAAGAGGAATGAAAAGAAGAAGAATGAAAAGAAGAATGAAAAGAAGAAGAAGAAGAATGAAAAGAAGAAGAAGAATGAAAAGAAGAATGAAAAGAAGAATGAAAAGAAGAAGAATGAAAAAAGAAGAATGAAAAGAAGAAAAGAAGAATGAAAAGAAGAAGAAGAATGAAAAGAAAAATGAAAAGAAAAGAAGAGGAATGAAAAGAAGAAGAAAGAATGAAAAGAAGAAGAAGAAGAAGAATGAAAAGAAGAAGAAGAATGAAAAGAAGAAGAAGAAGAATGAAAAGAAGAAGTATTCCAGTACAGCAAAAAGTGTATCTGCAGAGAGCTCCGCTATTTCTGACAGTTCTCTGACAGTTCCTTCACATTTACAGCGGTTGAAACATTGTATCTATTTATTTCCGAATAAAAACATCTGTATCCTAAATGGAAACAAATAGATACAATGTTTCAACCACTGTAAATGAACTGTCAGAACTGTCAGAAATAGCGGCGCTCTCTGCAGTGACACTTTTGTTGGCTGATCGGGAAAAATTTGATTCGTGCACCCGAAGTTTGCTAAAATTCGGATTCGATGCGAATCGAATTTTTCCTGAAATTCGAAACGAATTCCACTTCGCCAGGTTCGATTCGCTCATCTCTAGTGACAATAGTGAAATGTTCAACACATATATTGAATGAATATATTAATAAATAGTCCAAAATATATCCATGATAACAGGTGATGGGTGATTCTGTGATGAAATACTTCTGTTGAATGCACTCACCAGAAGCGCATATTAAATGCCCATTGTAATCAAAAAGCTCCTCCACAGGTCAGGCTCATCCATCACTCTGAATAGCAAAAAATGTCCAGGTCATGAAGGGGGTAAAACCTTCCAGAGGTCAATTGGTTACATCCGTGTTGCCCTTATTTTCCTTAGCCAGGCTTAGTCCAGTCTACTGTATCCAATACTGTATACCTCAGTAAAAGGGGCGGACTGACCATTTGGAAACTCGGGCACTGCCCAAGGGCCCAGGGTCAGTAGGGGACCCATGAGATGCCCCTGGTACCTTTTTCATAGGCTTTTTGAGTTTGGGCAAGGACATAGGGGCCCCATGATCCCCCCGGGGGCCCCATGATCCCCTATTGCCCGGGGGCCCCATGAGTTGTCAGTCCGCCCCTGCTCAGTAACCAAAGTTACTTTGGCCTTTGCTTCTGCAACCTAAGGGTTCATGTACACTGCAGCTGATAAACTCACATTTAGGAGCTTTTTTCCATTTTTTTTTCAGCAGCCTCTGAACTCTCCCTAATGTTTTCCTATGTGTCCATGTACACATAGTCGTTTACAGGCAGTTGAGTTTACAGTCATTTTTTAATGCACCAAACTTGCGTTCAGGAGTCGATTTTACCGATGTTTCAAACGCCAAATGCGTGTAAACGCGGATAACCGTGTTTATAAACGTTTTTAACTGTTCCATGTCCAGATGCTGTCCAGAGCCTTTATTCATCATCAGAAATGCATGCAAAGCGTTTTCCAGGTACTCAAATGGATCTAGTACACCATTGCAGTCAGTTCCAGGTTTTGCGTGAAGGAAAAAATGGTAGAATATGCTGCATTATGCTCATGATGGGATCAGGGGCGAACTGACCATTTGGAAACTTGGGCACTGCCCGAGGGCCCGGGGTCAGTAGGGGGCCCCATGAGATGCCCCTGGTACCTTTTTCATAGGCTTTTTTGAGTTTGGGCAAGGACACAGGGGCCCCATGATCCCCTATTGCCCGGGACCCATGAATTGTCAGTCCGCCCCTGGTTGCCTGGCTGTGCAGGATATAAGGGGGACCCAAAGCCAGCGGCTCTCAGGGGGGTAGCACTACAGGCATCTAAACTGTCTCTTGGGAACAATGCAAAACCATATCATAAAATTATAGCTCTCTTATCGACCCTTCTAATCAACTGGTTTGTGAAAAGTTCTAATTTGATTGCAATCATCTTGTATAAAGATGTATTTATTACAGGTATTTATACACACTCACAATATTTGCAGTGCTGACCATTTGGAAAAAATTTGGTCAGTAGGGGGCCCCATGAGATGCCCCTGGTACCTTTTTCATAGGCTTTTTTGAGTTTGGGCAAGGACACAGGGGCCCTATGATCCCCTATTGCCCGGGGGCACCATGAGTTGTAAAGTTCGCCCCTGGATGGGATCCATAGTGAATACAATCAGAAAAGACAGGTAATCTCAACACATACTGCTCTCTCTGCTTTCCGCTCTCTCAATTTCTCTCAAAATGTCTGAAATAGTAAATTTTTTACTGTTTTTCAGTGCATTCTGGGAAGGTCTCCTGAGGTTATCTTATAAAAAACGCTTCTAAACGCAAATGCACATAAACGCGATATGCAAATGCAACTCAACTAATGTTTTTTACCCTACGTTTTCCAGCAGTCAGTTTCCATCGTTCAGAAGAGTTTTCCAAACGCCCCGTGTACATGAGCACTAAATTCCATCCATTTGAATCTCTTTACACAATCTGGATCATTTTACAAATAATTCATGCTATGTCCAATAGAAACAAAAGTGTGACAACAGAAAAAAAGACCAAATAGTACATCAAGTCTGCCATTTTTTTTTACTTTTTACATTTGTTTTTTATTATAAGATGTAACAATAAAATGTGTCTGGGTGCCTAAAAAAATAAATACAGCTTTTTGCTGCAATAATCATCTCAAAAGGCACTATCTGCAGAAACTCAGGTGTCACGTTCTCTGTAGTTTTAATCCAAAAGATAAAACTTCTTAAAGTTTAACTACAGTAGGATAAATGGAAATAAGTTCTTCTTAGTCTACAACTTTGTAAATGTGATACAAATTTTTGGAATACAACCCTAAGGCGGTCACATCCAGGGAACTCTAGTAATTCAGGAATCGACATTCAATGTTCTTTTCCCCCAATGTGCGTATTAATTATTGAATGCATTTTGGGTTTACTCCTTTCTCTTTCCTGTTGAAAGAAAATAATGGACAAACCAGTACAAGTGCTTGTGATGCCAACTCTGTGCTTCTTGTGTAATATTCAATATTTGTTAAAGGTGGCTCAGGGGTGGACTGACTACTCATGGGGCCCCCGGGCAATAGGGGATCATGGGGCCCCTGTGTCCTTGCCCAAACTCAAAAAAGCCTATGAAAAAGGTACCAGGGGCATCTCATGGGGCCCCCTACTGACCACGGGCCCTCGGGCAGTGCCCGAGTTTCCAAATGGTCAGTCCGCCCCTGAGGTGGCTATTTTTACAGAGTGGCCTATCAATATCATCCATGCACTAGACATAATTGTTAATCTTTTTTTATGATTTAGGTTATTTATAAAATCTTATATTTCTTATTATGATTGATCAAAACTTTTCCCCCTTATGAAATTTCAGGCTCACTCGTCAGTGGAAAGGGCTGGACTAATAAGTGGGGTAAGAATGAAGAAAATCCAATCAGATGAAAACTTTACTATGCGTGGAAAGAATCTTAAAAAGGCTTTAGAAGAAGACAAGGCGGAAGGACTGATCCCAATGTTTGTAAGTTTTCATAAGGTTCATAAATGTATAATTCAGAGGAATTTTCTATATTCATCTCCGCACAAAATGAATTGGCCAGTCAGGTATATCAAATGTAAAAAATAAGAGAAAAATATATATTTTCATCAACTTTGCAAAAGATGCACACTGTCTGTATTTTATTTTGCATATGGCACAGGTGTTGCTCCAAAATGCAGAAGTTGTGCAAATTAGAACTCTGAATTTTGCACACAAGTCTCTATCTGAAACAAAACTGTCACAGATGTTTTTAATTAGGTGCAACCAGGGGTGGACTGACAACTCATGGGGCCCCCAGGCAATAGGGGATCATGGGGCCCCTGTGTTCTCGCCCACACCCAAAAAAACCTATGAAAAAGCCAATGAAAGGTACCAGGGGCATCTCATGGGGCCCCCTACAGAGCCTGAGCCCTCGGGCAGTGCCCGAGTGCTTGAATGGTCAGTCCGCCCCTGGGTGCAACACATTAACGAGAGCAATAGACCCCAGAAAGTGGTGCAGCAGCTTTATTGCACCACCCCCAGTGTTTTCCAGCTCTAAATAAAGTTGAAAAATTAAGATTTGGTAGTGGTTCCATAGTAAAGCTCATATTTTATGCAAGTGGCCTGGTATTCAATATATTGAAGATTCAAGTTCCACACATGCACAGCCCATATTGTTCTTCCCCCTTCTTTTGATCTCTAGCATAACTATTTTGCTGCATCACGTTAAACAGTTGAAGATGCAATCTATTTCTGTTAGTACATTCTGTTTTTTTTTTATTTCCTACATCTGTCATTTTCTTGTAGGTCTGTGCCACACTAGGAACAACATCATCCTGTTCATTTGACAATTTGATGGAAATTGGGCCTATTTGTAAGTAATATAATTGGCTGTTTTTGTGGCATTGTTAGTTCCCATTGCTGTTTCAATGCTTACTCTTCTAAACTGATTCATTCCTAGTGAGTATTGTTAGATTAAAAAAAAAAAAGCTTTATCAAAAAGTCTCTTCTCAAAATTCTAGCCCCATGGCAGACACAAGGCAGAGTGCAAATCTGATGCATGGTAACCAATCAACTTCTAACTTTAGCTTGTTCAGTTAACCATTTGCCACCTGGCCAACAGCAGTTTGGCGGCCGGCAAAATGCTTTAGCTTTCCGGGTGGACGCCATTTGGCGTTCTCCCGGGCATGCGCAGTTTTCGCGCTTGCAGAGCTGCGCAGCGGCGCGATCTGTCACCGGCCGTGTACCTCGGACACGGCTGATGACAGATCTGAGTATCGGCCCCTTTGCTGGTACCATGTGACCTGCTGTGACCAATCACAGCAGGTCACATGACAGTTGTATACAATGGATGGCTTCATTCATGCCATCCATTGTATACTAGTGTCTAGCTGTGAATGGTCACAGCAATCACATGCACATGTCAAATGCAAATCACAGCTAAGCACAAAAAAAAAAAAAAAACCCTGAATGAATCGATGTCATTCAGGTAAATGCTTGCTTATAGCAAAGTAATTCTTTGCTATAAGCAAATTGTGTAAAGAAAAAAAAATACTGATCACTTCCCCAAGGTAGTATAATGTTACTATGGTAACATTGTACTACTTTGGACATAGTGAAATATGAAAAGAAAATCTTAAAAAAAAGAAAAAACATTTCTTAAAAAATTAATAAAAAAAAATTTAAATTTAAAAAAAAATATATATATATATTTTTTTCATACTGTAACCAGTCAGTGTCCCTGATCACCGCCATGCCAGTTATATGATGACACTGTACTGCACTGGTGACAGTATGTAAAAACAAAATAGTGAAAATAATTTAATTTTTTCATTTTCCGAAAAATTATGACAAAATAAATACAACTTCAAAAAACTCGCCATTCCTCTTATGAAGTACGTTGGACTGTCTACTTTGCAAAAAGGGGTAATTTGTGGGATATCTGTACTGTTCTGACATTCTTGGACCTCCAGAAAATCGATTGGCTGTCAGTACTTCAGGATTGATCAATATTCAGATCTATACCATAGTTTGTTTGTGAACTCTATAATTTTCCTACAAACTAAAAAATACATCTTAATTTGGGTTATTTTCACCAAAGACATGGAGCAGAATACATCTCGGCCTAAATTTATGACGAACAATTATTTATTTGCAAACTTTTATAACAGAAACAAAGAAAAATGTGTTTTTTTTTTTTCCAAATTTTTGGTCTTTTTTTGTTAATTTAGCAAAAAATAAAAACCCCAGTGGTGATTAAATACCACCAAAAGAAAGCTCTATTTGTGTGAAGAAAATGATAAAATTTTAGCTTGGGTACAATGTTGTATGACCGCGCAATTGTCATTCAAAGTGTGAGAGCGCTGAAACCTGAAAAATGGCCTGGGCAGGAAGGGGGAAAATTGCCCGGTATTGGAATGGTTAAGCTTTGACCAAAAAAAAAAAAACGAAAAAAAACTGGAAGATGGTTGGTTTCTATGCAGAGCTGCACCGGATTTATCACTTTCCAGTTTTAGCAAACCAGCTTTAGTCTGCTCACTTTACAAGCAAAGTTACACTTTACATGGAATTTCTCCCCAGAGCGTAGTGATGGAGGTGAGGCTCTGCTGACCATCATCAACTAATTACGTGCAAACAAAAAATTTCTATTTTATTATTTTCCTTTTGTAAATCAACCCAGTGCCTCTGCTTGCTCTGTAGGAGGATCAGGAGCCTATCAGGATATTACTGGATCCTGATGTCTCCATAGGCAGTGGCCTAAAGCCATCCTTTTGTTTGTCTGATACATGCTGTATTTTATCTTCCCATGTGAGTAGCCATTGGATTTTTTTTAATTCGAACTTGTATAACAGTATTTCTCTCTAAGTCTGTCCTCTTCATCTTTCTATGGCTCCTACATGATACTTTTAGGAGATTTGATGCTGGTTTGTGGGGGTTTATTCAGAGGTCTGATATCCTTGGTAAGAGGCTGTGCTTGGTAGACATGTGCACGCCGGAAAAATATGTTTAATTTTTGGATCCGTTCGTTAATTGAAATATTCATTTTCAGATGCATTTGGTAATGGACTTATCCCTTTTTTGGAATTCATATCTTCAGCATTTGTTCAGTTTCATAGTGTTGGTCATTAAGGAGCGGGAGGCCACCATGTCCTTCACAATCACGACTCATCTGCTATCAGCAGGATTCTCCGCTGTCAGCAGAATGTGAACAAAAGTTAAAAATATTTTTTAAAAATGTGGGGGTCCCCCAAGTCCATACAGGCCCTTTGGGTCTGGTATGGATTTTGAGGGGAAACCCACGCCAACATTTTTTAAACAATGTAAGGTTCCCTCCCCAAAACCCATATAACAATGGTATTATGCTCTCTGTATATAACATGTAATAGCCAGATATGCTTTTTGCAGAACTCTATACAGCGGGGATCGAAAGTTTGGGCACCCCAGCTAAAAATTTGTATTAATGTGTATAAAGAAGCCAAGGAAAGATGGAAAAATCTCCAAAAGGCATCAAATTACAGATTAGACATTCTTATAATATGTCAACAAAAGTTAGATTTTATTTCCATCATTTACACTTTCAAAATAACAGAAAACAAAAAAATGGCGTCTGCAAAAGTTTGGGCACCCTGCAGAGTTAATATCTTGTAGTGCCCCCTTTGGCAAGTATCACAGCTTGTAAACGCTTTTTGTAGCCAGCCAAGAGTCTTTCAATTCTTGTTTGAGGTATCTTTGCCCATTCTTCCTTACAAAAGTCTTCCAGTTCTTTGAGATTTCTGGGCTGTCTGTCACGCACTGCTCTTTTAAGGTCTATCCATAGATTTTCAATTATGTTGAGGTCGGGAAATTGTGAAGGCCATGGCAAAACCTTCAGTTTACGCCTCTTGATGTAATCCCCCGTGGATTTCGAAGTGTGTTTAGGATCATTATCCATTTGTAGAAGCCATCCTCTCTTTAACTTCAGCTTTTTCACAGATGGCATCAAGTTACCATCCAAAATTTGCTGAAATTTTATTGAATCCATTTTTCCTTCTACTCGTGAGATGTTCCTTGTGCCACTGGCTGCAACACAACCCCAAAGCATGATTGATCCAACCCCATGCTTAACAGTTGGACAGAGGTTTTTTTCATTAAAATCTGTGCCCCCTTCTTCTCCAAACCTACCTTTACTCATTCTGGCCAAAAAGTTCAACTTTAACCTCATCGGTCCACAGAACTTGTTTCCAAAATGCATCAGGCTTGTTCATTTGCAAAGTTCAAACAATGATTTTTGTGGTGAGGACATAGAAGAGGTTTTCTTCTGATGACTCTTCCATGAAGACCATATTTGTACAAGTATCTCTTTATAGTGGAATAGTGACCACAACTCCAGTGTCTGCCAGATCTTTCTGGAGGGATCGTGCAGTCAAACATGGGTTTTGAATTGTTTTTCTCACAATCCTGGGAGCTGTTCTGTCTGATATTTTTCTTGGTCTTCCAGATCTTGCTTTAACTTCCACTGTTCCTGATGACTGCCATTTCTTAATTACATTCCGAACAGAGGACATTGACATCTGAAAACGCTTTGCTATCTTCTTATAGCCTTCTCCAGCTTTGTGAGCGTCAACTATTTTCAGTTTCAGTTTTCTAGACAACTGCTTAGAAGAACCCATGGTGCTGATTGTTGGGGCAAGGTCAGATGAGTCTGGGCATTTAAAACCTATGAGATTGACATTGCCTGGTCTTCCCAGACGATGATTGAGAACAATCCATGACACTGGCAGGTCTCAGCTTTGCAAAGGGGGCAGTGCCTGCTATAAATTCTGCAGGGGCCCAAACGTTTGCAGACGCCATTTTTTTGTTTTCTGTTATTTTGAAAGTGTAAATGATGGAAATAAAATCTAACTTTTGTTGACATATTATAAGAATGTCTAATCTGTAATTTGATGCCTTTTGGAGATTTTTCCATCTTTCCTTGGCTTCTTTATACACATTAGTACAACTTTTTAGCTGGGGTGCCCAAACTTTTGATCCCCACTGCACATACGTGGAATAAAATCAAATAGCCGGTCACACAATATAAATCATGTCTTTACTGTGCTGTTAAATCTATTTCTGGCATGCTGTTTTTTGCATATGCTAAAAATCTGAATTTGTACAGCCTAAACCTGATGTACCATGTAAACACAGAAATGGTTTATATTTTCCAGGCAGTGATGAAAATCTATGGTTACACATTGATGCAGCATATGCAGGAAGTGCCTTTATTTGTCCTGAATTTAGATACCTTATGAAAGGTGTGGAGGTATGTACAAAATACAGATGGTTGGTTATTTCATAAAAATTGGAAATTTTTGGATTAGATTTATAAATACCATTAGTATAATGGATGATTTTTATAAAATATATCTTTCATTTATTTCTCTCAAATGAATATTTGCACTGAACACACCTTGCATTTACCTGCATGGCATATACAGTTGCAAGAAAAAGTATGTGAACCCCTTGGGATTACGTGGAGTTTTGCATGAATTGGGCATAAAATGTGCTCTGAACGTCATCTAAGTCACAGCAATAGAAGAACACAGTCTGCTGAACATAATACTACACAAACATTAGATGTTGCCATGGTTTAATTGCACATAACATGTAAACATTCACAGTGCAGGGAGGAAAAAGTATGTGAACCTTTGGACTTAATAACTGGTTGACCCTCCTTTTGGCAGCAATAACCTCAACCAAACGTTTCCTGTAGTTGCAGATCAGACCTGCACAACGATCTGGAGTCATTTTGGACCACTCCTCTTCACAAAACTGTTTCAGTGTAGCAATATTCTTGGGATGTCTGGTGTGAATTGCTCTCTTAAGGTCATGCCACAGCATTTCAATCGGGTTGAGGTCAGGACTCTGACTGGGCCACTCCAGAAGGCATATTCTGTGCTGTTGCAGCCATTGTTTTGTTGAATGACTTGTATGCTTTGGGTCATTGTCCTGTTGCATCACCCATCCTCTGCGGAGCTTCAGTTGGCGGACAGATGGTCGTACATTTTCCTGCAAAATGTCTTGATAAACTCTGGAATTCATTTTCCCATCAATGACAACAATCCGTCCAGGCCCTGAGGCAGCAAAGCAGCCCCAAACCATGATGCTCCCTCCGCCATGTTTTACAGTGGGGATGAGGTTTTGATGTTGGTGTGCTGGGCCTTTTTTTCTCCACACATAGTGTTGTGTGTTCTTCCCAAACAACTCAATCTTGGTTTCATCTGTCCACAGTATATTTTGCCAGTAGTGCTGTGGAACATCCAGGTGCTCTTTTGCAAACTTCAAACGTGCTGCAATATTCTTTTTGGACAGCAATGGCTTCCTCCGTGGTGTCCTCCCATGTACTCCATTCTTGTTTAATGTTTTCCTTATTGTAGATGTGTCAACAAAAATGTTAGCATGTGCCAGAGATTTCTGTAGGTCTTTAGCTGACACCTTGGGATTCTTCTTTACCTCATGCAGCATTCTGCGCTGTGCTCTTGCAGTCATTTTTACAGGACGACCACGCCTAGGGAGAGTAGCAACAGTGCTAAACTTTCTCCATTTGTAGACAGTCTGTCTTACCATGGACACATGAACATCAAGGCTTTTGGAGATACTTTTGTAACCCTTTCCAGCTTCATGCAAGTCAACAATTCTTGATCGTAGGTCTTCTGAGAGCTCTTTTCTGTGAGGCATGGTTCACATCAGACAGTGCTTCTTGAAACCAGTAAACCCAAAACAGTTGTGTGTTTTTTAAGGGCAGGACAGCTGTCAGCAACACATCCAATATCATCACACTGATTGGAGTCAAGGTTGGCTCACTCCTGGCTCCAATTAGCTCTGGGAGAAGTCATTAAGCTAGGGCCTCACATACTTTTTCCTCCCTGCACTGTGAATGTTTACATGTTATGTGCAATTAAACCATGGCAACATCTAATGTTTGTGTAGTATTATGTTCAGCAGACTGTGTTATTCTATTGTTGTGACTTAGATGACGTTCAGAGCACATTTTATGCCCAATTCATGCAAAACTCCACGTAATCCCAAGGGGTTCACATACTTTTTCTTGCAACTGTAGTTGAAAATATAACAAACAAGCCAATCAGCGCAGACAGACAAAATAAAATACAATAAAATAAAAATCAATATTGCAAGCTAGACACCCATTGCACAATCACAGCATATAGTCGGGTAGCTATCTCACTGAGAGACAGTTATAAAGTATTTGTCCATGATCAGACTTGTCCTTGGAGCACTGGAATATACCAATACTTCCATGGAAAGCTGAACAGCATAAGTAAAGAGCACATGTGCCTCAATAATGCCTTTTCCTTTTCTCAAAAAAAAAATCAAATTATCCATTTGTGCTCCCAAAGAGATTTTCCAAGACACTGGAAAAGCTCTGCTTATAACAAAAAGCACAAAAAAGCATTTTGCTCAGAAATGCTTGTGATTGACCTATGCAGAATAATTCGTACCTGATCAGGGGTGGACTGACAACTCATGGGGCCCCTGTGTCCTTGCCCAAACTCAAAAAAGCCTATGAAAAAAGGCACCAGGGGCATCTCATGGGGCCCCCTACTGACCCTGGGCTCTCGGGCAGTGCCCGAGTTTCCAAATGGTCAGTCCACCCCTGTACCTGATAGTCATTGGAAAGTATTGGATCTGCTAATGATGCTCATTTACCGATACCCGCACAGCTTCCCTTAATGGGCAATAAAACATAACTTTTATTTATTTTTGTAAAACACTTCTTTCTATAGCTAAAATCCCATCAAAATTAATTGACTGTTAAGCTGTCTCCCTTATGGCTACCTATTTTCTGCCTGTTCTGTCATATTTCCATTGACTGTTCCCTTAGTCCTGGTTCACACTAGTGAGACTTTAGTCGCAAGACAAGGGAAATTTCATTGTTTTCAATGTTGCCTGTTCTAATCTATGCAACTCAGCACGGTGCAATTGTGGACAAGGCACCTGCACTACTTTGGTGTGATTTTACAGTGTGACTTGGACCCATACAATATGCAAAGGAGCATAAAAAGTCACAAAACAAAGATGCACTGTAAATTGCATCAAAGTCACATTGCAGAAGCAGGGGCCGACTGAAAACTCATGGGGCCCCCGGGCAATAGGAGATCATGGGGCCCCTGTGTCCTTGCCCAAACTCAAAAAAGGCTATGAAAAAGGTACCAGGGGCATCTCATGGGGCCCCCTACTGACCCCAGGGCCCCTCGGGCGGTGCCCGAGTTTCCAAATGGTCAGTCCGCCACTGTGCAGAAGTGTAAGCTGAACATTATTCCTTCTGATTCTATAATCTTTCTAATCAGAGATTTTCTTTCCTCAACTCATTTTATATTCTTTTTTCAAAAATGAAGGAAATTTCTCTCTCTCCCCTCTTTACTACTTCCCAAAATAAGTATGATACCTTCCTGAATAAACAGACATCTGCCCTTCTTTAATATCATATTACTCTCATATTTCAAGTACTCATTTTCATTAACTATTTTCTCTCAGTTAACTCATTTTCATTAATAATAATTACCCAAAACATAAAGTATCCAAACCAAATATTGGTGCACAAACACCCTACAATGGCTTTGTCAGAGGAAATTATTTACAGGGTTCATAGTCATGTGTTTGGTGCAGCAAAGAAATATACAACAGCTTCCATTCTAAGGTATGCCAACTCTTTATAGATGATAAAGAGCTCATGACGTACATCAACATTCGTGTATAATGAAATTGTGTAATGCATGATGTACTATGTCATTTCTTCCTGCCTCCTAGTGGAAGCAGGTGTCTTGTATCTTCTCTCCGCCCATCCAATGGGGTGGACTTCCAGAGTATTTTCCCCCAATTCCCATCAATTAACCCATTGATGTTTACCACCATCAAAGCAGTCAGATTTATGGACTTCTTTCCCCAACTATTTATATCCACACCAATGGGAATAAAATGCATTTTCATAAACAAAGTTTATACTGCTGGCTTTATCCCCTCAGACACATTGATTTGATTTCTGGAAGTTGCCATGCACATCCACCTTCAATATACACTTTGAATTTAATGTCATTGTCACGGATCCCCCGCACGCCACGCCCACAGTGACTAGCTAACCGAGGCGCGCACGTGCGGCCATGACTTGTGGTAAGGGGGACTTAACTTTGAATATATATATAGGTATATAAGACTGGCTGTGATACACTTCACAGCCCGCACTACCTCTGGCCACCAATGGAGGGAGACTCCACTTCAGTCCAGCTAGTTGACCACACACACAGGCAGACACGATCTTACATACAATCTGGTGCACTAATTAGGGTTGAGGAGCAGCCTAGCAATCACACACCCTTCTAGGATTCCTCCAGCTATCCTCCAAGCTAGAGCCCGTGTTAATCACTCTTCCACTGTCCACATACCCCCACACCAGACACACCACAAACGGTAGCTTGCCACCACCCAACAGTTTATCCGCAGAACAGTCTGCTGGGACAGCACACACACACAGATCTCCATCTGGCAAACCTGTCACCCTTACAATGCAATCTGCCAACACGCACTGAAATTGCATACTGATTGGCAATGAACTTGACCAAGCATATAAAGACACTAAAATACAATACAATCTAATCTCTCCGGAGATATGAGCCGGCTTAAGTACCCAGAAGTCACTTATTAATTTTATGCTTTAATAACCCAAAGTGGGCAGTGCATAAAATATGTACAAATTATAAACATTTACAGGAAATACAAGAAGATACACAATTGGCTATTGACTATAACATAAAAGGGAAATAAAACAGAAATAAAACTTTTGCCAAGAGTTATCCTGCGACAGGAGCAAGTCAGAGAAAGTCCGCAATCCGTCAGTCAAATAGAACGGGCTCCATACGAATCACAAAGTCCATATTCAAGTCCTCAATTTATGGGAATATGGACGTAGGTTGGACATGAGTCCTTGGCCAATCAACCCTGGGGGGTGTTCCTTTACCAGCCCACAGGACGTTCTGGGTGCTGAAATGCCCAAAGTCGATTGGACCAGGAACTGTTTTGAATCACCAAGTCAGGGATTGAATTTCCGACACCAGCGCATCAGTCCAATCGCGACAGTACCAATCACTGTTCAGCTGTCGCAATCCAGCGCCACATAACCATTTCTTGCATTTTTCTGGCATTCTACATAGGCCACAAATACAGTTTTTACATGCAGATGTAGCCCACAGAGTGCCCAATCAGAAGGGAGTATTTTCATCTCTCCAACTAATATTTTAGCTTTTATGAGAGATGAAATCTATTCCTTTGATCTGTGTATATACTTTAAAGCTCCCCAGACAGATCAGGGCCCCCTGGTGTCATGAAGTCGAAACGTCTGCGTTCCTCTTTTAAACTTCAGGAAGGTGGCAAAGTCTGATAATATATATATATATATATATATATATATATGTGTGTGTAGATAAATCTTATTGGCACCCAGGTGTCACTTCCAGCGTGGAAGCTGCTCTTTCTGTTCAGATGCTAATGGGTGAGCACATGTCTCTGAATACCTATGACTGAATATTTATTTAATAACAAGGAATGAAACTAAATTTACAATTACATATTGCTACTGATCACATCTCAGTCCAATCACTTGAATCCCACAACTACGTTACAGTCATACTGTAGTAGTTGGATTCTTTATTGTATTTATTTTCTGACTCCTTTTATACAAATGTCCACCATACTGTATTCCAATATTTTGGATAAAAGGAAGGTAGGTGAACCTTTATTTTAACCATTTGGGTATTTAAAATAAATAAAAAACCTTTCACCTATGCCTTGATGATTTTCTTATCAAAGCCCCTTTTTGCAGCCCCAATTAGATTCCGTAGCCAACCAAAATGTAAAAAATCTGGGATAACTTGATTTAACTTACATGATAGCTTTTGGTTTGTCTCCAATTTTATATAGATCGTTTACACGTTTCAATACTCAATTGACCCTTACAGCACTACAGTTATAAAAGCCATTTATGCCTATTGCTTCACTAGCTGGGACTTGTGAATTCTTTCACAGTAGGAATAATGGGGAATACTTTGCATCTTTCAAGTTTCTTTTATCGGTTTTCTGATTTTTAATGGATTGTGCACAAAGAGGTGTTCATATTCCTCATTTTTTACGATCCATTAGGTTATTTGGTAGCACTTTTCTCAAATATTTATCATCTAGTGCTATCAGCCAGTTTTATCAAAGGCCTGATTGGTTTGAGCCGGTGCCAATCACCCTAATACCCTCTTCTTTCTTTTATTCTTCTTCAATAGGGATATGCAGGTCCACGTTTTCTAATTTTGATAGTGTATCTATTTTTGCTTTATGACATAAGGTATCTATGGTTCTCAAATCTCTCATACATATTATTATGCTCATGTCCAAAATTTGCTGTTAAGCAGCTTAATTGTTCCCCCTAAGAAATTGCCCAGCAATGTGAGCATTACAGCATGAAATAGACACATCTTTTGGCAGCGTCACAGCATAGAATTATAGAATACATTACCAAAGCTATGGAAAGACGGGAAGGAACAGACCCCATCGGAACCATAATGCACAGGGGGTTACGGAGAAGCCGAAACACGACCAAACGATAAGCCCATATAGCCTTGGCAAGAGTCCCAGCGTCAGAGCGTCTTCTTTCACATAGGAAGGTCTCTCACCTTGATCACGCTCAAGCTTCTTGTTTTAAGCCTTTTTCTGGCAGCTTTCCCGAAGTCGGCGAGCGCCACACCCACTCTAGGAGGAGCTAGCAGAAAGGTGCCATGAGGATAACAGAGTCACACCCAGCCACTGAACAAACAACGTTTATCTAAGAATATCACACTTTTGCTTTAGATCAGCATCTTATCTACCCTAAATGTAAAGATTTCTAACTTCTTAAACAAGAAGACCTCTTTAATTGCACAAATAAGTTCTTATGTAATTTAAGCAGTCTAATGTAACATTTCTTGATGTCCCAAACATGTTCAATCCCACAAACACTCCTTATCTGCTTTTAGCAGTCTAATATCTTGTGACTGTTCCTTGGGCCTAGAGAAATTACATCAATGTCTCATGCACCTGGCATCTGGGCAACAATGCTTTATTGTACAAATTACCCAAGAAACAAAGGGTCCAAGGCCAACACATATCATAGGCATTACAATCCTATGCCAGATCACTTTCCAAAATCTGAAAATGAGAGGTGTGTCTTGGGATTCTAAGACAGATCTGTTGATATTTTGTTTTGTCTAAGATGACATTATTATCCACCTTGTTTTAGGTTGGTCTATGAAACTGAATATTATCCCTATTGATATATTGTGGATATGAATAGGTTAATTGGGGAAAACAGCTCATAAATGCACCCCCTTTGGAGGTGGTAGGCAAGGCAATATTTTAGGTAAGAATACTATGGACGTTTGCCCACTTGGAAGGGTGAAGAGCAGATGTGGGATACCTGTGTTTGCCAGAAAGGAATAGCATGTCATGCATTACTTAATGGCATCATAGTAAAGGTATATTGATGTTCATCTAATGCTGGTGAATGTCCATGAAGTGAACCAAGCATCTACAATGAGCTGGTGTTCCTCAGAATGGAGGCCACTGCATGTTTGCAGCCAACAATAGACCCCTCCCTCAAGAGTAGATCCCTTCCAGCAACAATAGATCCCCCACCAGCAACAAAAGACCTCCCCACCAACAATAGGCCACCATGCAAAAATAGATCCCTTCCCATAGCAATAGATTCCCCATGAGCCTGCATCAATAGACCTTCCAGCACACCCCGGCACCCCTTGCTACTACATACATCCGGCACCTCCAGCACTGAAACAGCGTTCCTCTGCATTCCCGCTGAAAAAAAGCCCTGTCTATTGGTAAGCCTTAATTTATTAATCTACACAAGAAAAACAACAGCATTCTGGTCAACTGTCAGCATCATATATTTTTCTTCCCTTCATTTTTTTTTAGAAATCCTCCTCATATGTTTCTATTTTGGTATAGTAGTTGTGATAAATGCAATGTTTTGATTGTCGGCATCTCTTTATTTCATATATTTTATAGCACTGGCCATCTTGGAAAGTATGAGAGATAGAAAAATGCGTGTACTTTCATTTCCTGGGTCTCATTGTTCTCTAGATAAGTCCTGATGCTTTATGTCAATATAAATAAGTCTATGAATGAAGACCTTAAGCAGACAATAACAGATGACATGGTCACAGAAAATGTATGAAAAGAACAACATAACCTAATAAAAAGTGACCCCAAAGGCTCCAGCCAGTAACAATTTCCTGTTCATTCTTTCTTTTAATTATGTGTATTGGTTACTGAGGGAAATGAATGAGAGCCGATGCTGGAAATAGATCATCTGTCAGCATGGGAACAATTGAAAAGCTGTACAACCTTTTTATTACTTTCTGTTTGCTCTTGTCTACTGTTGTATCTAGCTAGATCTCATGAAAGAAACAAAAAGGAAATCAGAGAATTAAAAAGAGTGACATCATTATTTAACACTGAGAACAAATGTGTCATCCTCAAAGAAAACAAACTGTATTTAGACTACAAAATACGCCATCAATCCCAAAATCAAAATGGAACTGTTGTTAAAGTTCAAAATGTTTTACCTTTATTACAGTTTGCAGACTCGTTCAACTTTAACCCACATAAATGGCTGTTGGTGAACTTTGATTGCTCTGCATTTTGGTAAGTAAAACAAAAAATTTTATACTTGATAAAAAAAAGAACTAGCAGGTGGTAGAAAAATAGAAAATCCAGAGAAAAAAGATAAATAGTTCTATTCACTTCATTGATTTATTAGGAATAAGGCTCCATCTACACCAATGCGTTTTATGGAACCAGTTCACATCTATGCTTTTTTGAGCTGCTGCGTTTTTGGAAAGAGACTTTTTTTTTTTTTTTTTAACCACTTGCCGTCCTGCCACTGTATATATATGTGTGCAGGGTGGCACTGGGGCGCAAAACCACGTTTTTTTTTTTAAAAAACGGGTTCCGTGCTCCCGACGTTTTCGCCGGCAGGGGGCGCGCGCCACCATTTGATCCCGGAGGGATCAATCATTCGATTTCAGCCAGTGATGTCTGGCTGAAATCAGATGATCGGTCCATGTCCTATCCTGTCCTGTGTTGACATTTACACAGGACAGGATATGATGTCATTCTTCTCTGCCTGGGCACATTCCGTCCCAGAGAGGGAAGAAGACACAGTAAAAGTGAGTAAAACATTACACATTTACAGTTAGAACACACCTAGGTCACATTTAACCGCTTGATCGCCCCCCCCCCCCCCCCCAGTTAACCCCTTCACTGCCCTGTCACCAGTGTCACTGATCAGTGAACCGATTTTTACTGATCACTGTATCAGTGTCACTGGCGACTTCCGATAGTGTTAGCGCCCCTCCCAGATAGCGCCAGATTTCCCGCTCATACACTAGTAATCCCGTCTAACCCCTTGATCGCCCCCCCCCCCCCCCCCGAGTTAACCCCTTCACTGCCCTGTCACCAGTGTCATTGATCAGTGAACAGATTTTTACTGATCACTGTATCAGTGTCGCTGGCGACTTCCAATAGTGTTAGCGCCCCTCCTAGATAGCGCCAGTTTGTCCGCCAGTACACCAGTAATCCCATTTAACCCCTTGATCGCCCCCCCCCCCCAGTTAACCCCTTCACTGCCCTGTCACCAGTGTCATTGATTACAGTGAACAGATTTTTACCGATCACTGTATTAGTGTCACTGGTGACTTCCGATAGTGTTAGCGCCCCTCCCAGATAGCGCCAGTTTGCCTGCTATGCATGGGATTTTTTTTACCAAAAACATGGAGCAGAATACATTTTGGCTTAAATTTATGATTAACTTTGAGTTTACAATATATTTTTTATAGCTGAAAGTAGAAAATATTGTTTTTTTTCAAAATTTTCGTGTTTTTTTTTGTTTATAGCGCAAAAAAAAAAGTGCACAGGTGATAAAATACCACCAAAAGAAAGCTCTATTTGTGTGAAAAAAAGACGTAAATTTCATTTGGGTGCAGCATTGCATGACCGCTCAATTATCAGTTGAATTAGTGCAGCGCCGAGTAGCAAAAAAAGGCCTGGTCATTAAGGGGGGTAAATCCTCAGGAGCTCAAGTGGTTAAAGCAAAAAGCAGCATTTTGCTACAATATAGTTCAATGGCGAAGCTGCTGAAATGCATGGTAGTGTGTCTTTGCATGCTCATTCTCCCCAGCAACAAAAAAAATTACATTTTTTTAAAAAAAAAAAAAAAGCTGAACAAAATGCAAAATGTGGTAAAAACGCGTGTACAAGTGTGGTGTAGTTGGTTGAAATTTAAAACCTCTGAAAGATATATAGAACTGGTCGGAATTGAGGGGAAGTTTAGAAGTGAGGAGAGAGCCTTAATTGAGAATCTGAGAGAGCAGCATAAGAGATAGATAAAAAGGAGGAGTTATAGTTCAGGAAAGAGGATGTGGATGGGGAAAAAGGGTTGGAGAGAGGGTGGTTGGGGCGGGGTAATATTGGGGTAAATGGAAATATGTATATGTGAAATATTTTTGCAAATGTGATTTCTTTTTGTACTGAAAAATCAAATAAAAGTTTAAATTAAAAAAAACACGTGTAGAAAAATGCAAAATGAACTGCGAAAAGCACTGCAGAGTGGACAAAATGCCAACTGCATAGGTGTGAACGGATCCTTAATGTCCAAAAAAGGAAAGTGAACATCCTTGTGATTGCAAAACTCCTTGTAAGGGCTAGTTCACACTAGATGCAGTTCATTGTGCTTTTTCCTGCATCAAAGATGTATGCACCGTGTTTTCCATGTATTCCAATGGCCCTAGTTCATACCAGTGCAGTCAGTTCCAGTCAGTTTCCGGCCCAGAAACAAAAAGTAAAACATGCTGCATTTTTTCTGCACACAACCATACTTGAACATGGCAAACTGCACCAGAACTGCGCTTGGTGTGAACTGTAAGCAAAAACGTATCGGGAATGCATCCGGAGTGCATTTTTGTGGTGTGAACCAGGGGCGGACTGACAACTCATGGGGCCCCCGGGCAGTAAGAGATAATGGGGCCCTCTGTGCCCCCACCTACACTCAAGCTCACCCACACAACACCCTACCTACATATTGCAGCTCAACTGCATAGAAGGGGCATTTAAATATTTACTGCAGCAAAGCCTGCATCAATGTTCCCGGCTTCTTTCTGTAGAAGCCACTGGGCACTTCCAGGTTTAAAGATGGCTGCCATGTGGGGGAAGTGAAAGAGAGAGGGGAGTGAGAGGGTGAAAAAGAGGAGGGGTGAGAGAGAGGAGGAGTGAGAGGGTGAAAAAGAGGAGGGGTGCGAGAGAGAGAGAGAGAGAGAGAGAGGAGTGAGAGGGTGAAAAAGAGGAGGGGTGCGAGAGAGAGAGAGAGAGAGAGAGAGAGAGAGAGAGAGAGAGAGAGAGAGAGAGAGAGAGAGGAGGGGGGGGGGGGGGAGAGAGAGAGAGAAAAGGGATGAGAGAGGAGGGGTGTGTTTTTAAATTGGGCTAAAAATTGGACATGGCTTAAAAGGGGTGTGGTTAAATAGTGTCTGAGATGACTAGTATAGTGCAGAAGGAGGTAATGTTAAATAGGGAATGTACAGTGTGGTGTGTATGACAGTGGGTAGTATGTACAGGGAGAGGAGTGCGGAGTGCATGGCAGTGGGTAGTATGTACACAGGGAGAGGAGTGCGGAGTGCATGGCAGTGGGTAGTATGTACAGGGAGAGGAGTGCGGAGTGTATGGCGGTGACTAGTATGTACAGGGAGAGGAGTGCGGAGTGTATGTGGGTAGTATGTGTAGGATGGTGTCAGTAGGTGGTGTCAGTAGTTCTTCATTTATGTTAGTATTTTTTTTATTTTATTTTTTTTACAATTTTATGATTTTTTTTTTTTTTACAAATTAATGTTTTATTATTTTTTATCATTTATTTTCAAAATGCTTTTGGGTGGCCAGTGGATGGTGTTAGTAGAGCAATGGTGTGGGTGTCAGAATTTTTTAATTATTATAACATTTTTAAACTATTTTTTACAATTTATTTTTGTTTGTTTTTACAATGATTTTGTGGGGGCAGTGGACAGTGTCAGTAGGGAGTGAACAGGGAGCACTAGCCATTAGATTGGGATGAATAAACAGAACCTTTACCCCCTTATATCGGAAGAAAGGGAATGGATAGAGGGAAGGAAGAAAAAGGGGAGGGAGCCAATGGATGGAGGAAGGAAGGGGAAGGAAGGAGGGGTGGAAGGAAAGAATGAAGGGAGGGGATGGAGGAAGGGAGGGAATGAATGGAGTAAGGAATGAAAGAAACAAAAATGGATGGAGGAAGGAATGAAGCAAAAGGGAGGAAGGAATAAAAAGGGAGAGAGGGAATGAAGAAAGAGGGAATGAAGGAGGGGTGCGAGGAAAGAATGAAGGAGGGGATGGAGGAAGGAAGGTAAAGAAGAAAAGGGAGGGAATGGATGGAGGAAGGAATGAAGGAGAAGGGGGGAAGTTGGGGAGGGGGGGAGAATGGAGGAAGGAAGAAAGGAAGGAAGAAAAGGGAGGGAATAGATGGATGGAGGAAGAAAGGGAAGGAAGGAAAAGGAGGGAGGGAATAGATGGAGGAAGGGAGGGAAGGGTGGGAGAAAGGAAGAGAAGGAGGAAAAGGGAGGGAGGGAATGGATGGAGGAAGAAAGGAATAAAAATGGATGGACAAAGTAATGACGGTAAAGGAGGGAAGGAAGGGGAGGGAAGGAACGGAGGAAGGAAGAAAAGGGAGGGGGACTAGATGGAAGGAGGGGAGGGAGGAAGGAAGGAAGGAAATGAAAGGAGGGAAGGAAGGAAAGAATGAGGGGAGGGGATGGAGGAAGGAATGGAAGGGAGAAAGGGGAGGGAGGAAATGAAGGAAGGAAGAAAATGGATGGATGAAGGAAGGGGAGCAAGGAAGAAAAAGGAGGGAGGAAATAAAGGAAAGGGGATGGAGGAAGGAAGAAAAGAGAGGGAGGGAATGGATGGAAATGGATGGAGGAAGTAAGAAAAGGGAGGGAGGGAAGGAAGGAAAGAAGGGAGGGAAGTAAGAAGAGGGAGGGAATGGATGGAGGACGGAATGGAGGAGAGGGAGGGAATAAAAGAAAGAAGGGAGGAAGGAAGGAAATGAAAGGAGGAGAGGGAGGGATGAAAGAATGAAGGGAGGGAATGGATGAAGAAAGGAATGGAAGAAAGGAAGGGAAGGAAGGAAGAAGGGGAGGAAAGAAGGAAGAAAATGGAATAAATAGAGGAAAGGAAGAAAAGGGAATAAATAGAGGAAAGGAAGGGAAGGGAAGGGAGAAAAGGAATTGATGGAGGAAGGAAGGAAATGGATGGAGGAAAGTGGGAAGGGGGGAGGGGAGGAAGGAAGGATTGAAGGAAGGGGAGGGAACGGGGAAAGAAGGAAAGAATGATTGAAAGATGAGGAGGAAGGTAAGGAGAAAAAGAAGGGAGAGGATAGAGGAAGGAATGAAGGTAAGGGAGGGAGAGAATGGAGGAAAGAAGAAAATGAATGGAGGATGGAATGAAGGGAGGGAAGGAAGAAGGGGGGGAGGAAGGAAGAAAGAAAAAGGAGGGATGAAATAGATGAAGGAAGGAAAGAAGGGGAGGGAGGGAGAAAGGAAGGGAAATAGAGAGGGAAGTAAAGAATGAAGGGAGGGGATGGAGGA